GCTATCCAATCTATGGATGTGAATTTAAGATCAAATATTGGCTGTGATTTCTGTTTGTGTGTTTGTGTCATTTTTTGTGCCAAAAGGTTAGAGTGTCTAGCAGGTGGTATGAGTATATCTTAAAAGATAGAGCTTATGAATAAAGTTGGTATCTAATTAAGTTGGCTGTGTTATTACTAAGGTCAAGAGTAATACACTAAGGTAAAATCAACATGTCGTTCTTTATGTCTACCTATTCTATTAAGATTGTCAATTTTTAGTATGTGTTTTCCAAGTATGTAAGCCACTGTGGATACAGAGCTGAGAATGGTTTCAATCTTCACTAGTATCCTAAAATGCTATATTCAGTTAAGAAGTTTTAAAACTCTTACCACATCCACTGAGTTTTGTTATTACAGATTTTACCCTCTGCAGTATTTAGTCAGACCCACAGAAAAATAACTGACAAATACTTGTTGGTCAGTTCTTAACAAGTTACAGTAAACTCTACTAAATATTTCTATTGGTCTCCTTGTTGTTTTAATTGGAAATAAAAAGCGGTTTGTGGCAAACATTCATCTGATCTGATGATTATAGTTCAAAGCCAGCCCGGGTAGGAAAAAACCCTCTGGGACTCCATCTCCCAACTAACCAGCAAAGAGCCACGCTGAAAGCAGGGCTCAAGAGCTCTATCTGTAATTAACTAGCCAAATCCTGGAAGTGGCACAGTTGTTCAAGGTGATAGAGTGCTGGCCTTGAGCAGAAGTGCCCAGGGACAGTGCCTATGCCTTGAGTACAAACCCTGTGACTGACTGGGACAAGCTATCCAGGGACAAAGCCAGTTCTGACAATGAGGAATCATGGAGAGGAAGAAGAAGGAATAGTGTTACATCCTAAATGGAGCCACTCTACATCCACCCTTTGAAAATTAACCAGAGCCAGGAGATCAAGAAAAATAGTTAATAAGCTTGCCCATCTAATGTGCATACCAGTCTATGTTCTTACTGGCCAGGAACTTACATCCTTGCCTTTGTTACCTGCTATTACTATTTACAGTAAGTCTTAGATTCAAGACAGCCTTGGAAGCCTCATGGGTCTCCCATATATACTCTATAATCCAGACATTGTCCAAGGCTTTCTACTGTTTTTCTAGCTTTGACTTCATGGTTCTAAACTCAGGGCCAATTTTCTTTCTTTTTTTTCAAAAGACCTAAACATGCCTTAAAACTTTGGTGCACAAGTATGAACACAGTCAAAGAAAACTTTTGTGCACAAGTGTGAACACGTTCAAAGTCATCTCATTGTAATATGTAAAAACTGCCATCATGGTGTAAATATTGCTTGCTTTTTAACTACAGTGGGAACCTTGTGTTAAAGGAGTTAACACCCTTAACTACTCCAATCCAGCCCTAGTCTCTGTCTAGAACTAGTCTCTGGTTATTCTCAACCAGTCTACTATAATGTCACCTACTCAGTTTCCAGAAACCCTAGGCACTCCCTCCTGACCCCAGTCCAGTAAAAATGGAAATTCTACCTTCTGTGTAATGGGCCACAACTGGGCTTATGCTCCAAATGGAACTTTTCTGGCTTGTGGCCAGAGTGTGTTGTCCCTTGTCATTCATGTTAACTGTTAAGGCCACCTTGTCTGCTTTTTGCCTGATCTCGCCTTTTCAAAAGTTTCTCTTTAACAGGATAATAGCGCTTACTCAGGACACCACCTGGGAACAAGTCAACACCATCCTATTATGACAGGCAGCTGGAGGCTTCAGTTACACTGCCTTGCCTAATGCAGGCCTGGACCCTAAAGACCCCAGCCCCAGTGACTCCTTGACACTCCCATGCCAGTAGGAAGTGTCAGAAAAGACCATGATGTCCATTGGCTCTGGCACATTTAAGTATTTCTGCTACCTCCTCCTGAGACCCCTGTGACCCTAAGATAAAGCTGGAAAAGTCTTAGTTTCCCCTGCAGGATATGGGGAGTCAGGTACCATGCTATATCCACAAGACAGAGAAGGCATCCTCCATTTCTTTCCTGTGCTCAACCAAGGTTTTGGTTAAATCAGTTATCATGGACCCCAATAGAAAGCTGTTTTGGTGTAAATCCTCCTAATGGGACCCTCCCCTTGCATGTAGTAACCCATTATGGTGAAGTGCTACAGGCTAATGCCAAGGAGACCACAGTGGCCCTTAATATGGCACAGATTCAACTAAACTCTTTGGCAGATATGTCCCTCCAAATCAAAGGGCCTTAGATTTGTTAATGGCTGAAAAAGGGGAAACCTGCCTTGGGAAAAGTGTTACTACTGTTTAACTATGACTGGCAGAGTAGAAGAAAGCATAAAAGCTATAAGAAGATAGCTGCTAGCCTAAGAAACAATCCAGAATCTCAGGTCTTTTGACAGCGCCTTCTGGGAATCAATCACTCCCTGGCTTATGCTTCTCTTCGTCTGCTGGCAACAACTTTTGGCCTTTTTCTAATTGTGCCTTACAATTTTAGATAGCTACAAAGTATTCTCAGAAAAAATGAGGACCTTTACCAATCAAACTGTCAAGCAAATACTTCAAACTGTCAAGCAAATACTTCTTGGATGGTACCTGGTCAAGGAGCAATCCCTATTGACTACTTCACCCCTTCTCAGCAGGAGTAGCTCCAGAAGAAACGATCACCGCCCATATTCCTGACCTATGCTCTGATCTGGTACCCATACTTACTAAACAAAAAAGGGGAGACTGTTACCTGACATGCTCCTTTCCCAGATTAACTGACAAAGGACCCTTCTGATACAGGCAGCTGATAACCAGCTCCCTCCCTCCCCGCTATGGCCATAAATGGTAACAGCAGGCCCATTTGGGCAGCTGCCATAAATCTAAGCCCACCATAATGGAATCCTCTGCTCTCACATCCTACATGAAATCCCACCATTAGCCCTCATAAGACCCACCCTCGATGACAAGTGCTTTTCTCCTCCTTCTGGTGAGAGAATTAGGCTTGTCAGTGCCTCTGCTGACATTAAACCCCTTTCTGTGTATGTGACCTTGTGTCTGTGTGGTTTTTGGCATGGGTGCTTTCGTTTTGCCAGTATGTCTGGTTTTCTGGGATGGGTGCTTTCATTTTGACAACTATGTCCTAGGACATTGCTAACTTTCTGTAGCATAATCATCTGTCCTTGGAGCCCCTCTGTGCTGTCATCTGGAGCTAAAGTAGTATTGAAAAACAAACATTACACACCTAGACATTTTTATAGGTGTGTATACTTGTAAGAGAAAAGGGAGAAGGGAAGAGGTGTTGCATTATCTTCTTATGACTAGTATTTTAAAAATACTACAGTTTTGAAGGAATGTAACTTTTTGTTGTTGTTGTTGGTTATGGGGCTTGAACTCTGGGCTTGGACGCTGTCCTTGCACTCTTCAACTCGAGGCAAGCACTCTACCACGTAAGACTCAATGGCACTTCTGGTTTTCTAGTGGTGGTTTATTAGAGCTAAGAGCCTCACGGACTTTGCTGCCCAGGGGGCCTTTGAACTGTGGGATCCTCAGATCTCAGCCTCCTGAGTAGCTAGGATTACAGGCATGAGTCACTGGTGCCCGGCAGGAATGTAATCTTAGATAGAAAACTGTACTTTTGTGCACTTTTGTGCTTTTTAAGTAATTTTTACAAGCTATTCATTTATGCAGTATTTTCCTCTATAGTCTTGGCTTCTGTGTCCCAAAAATTTTTGTAGGGAAAAAAGAATTGAACAATGGAAACAAACTCAGAGGAATATTAAAGTCAGAGGAAGAAGGAATAAACCCATTGGAAAAATATTACACACACAGTATGTGTGTGTGTGTGTGTGTTAAAAGTTGTTTGGTGGCAAATGGGTTTCAATTCAGCACTTTAGTGCTATCCCTGAACTTTTGTGCTCAAGGCTAGCATTCTACCAGTTGAGCCAAAAGTCACGTCCTTGAGATACATGTCCATAATATTTCATGTCCATAATATTTGGAGATTCTAACACAGTTATAGTTTACACAGTATAACGCAGGTATAATTTCAGACACAGGTATAGTTTCAGCAATTGCTTTCTCATCAGGGTTGAAGTAGGTATAATAGAAAGACACATTTCTTGATCAACTGAAAAAAAGATTCAGCAGGCTTCTCTCATTTTGTTTTTGGCTGGTGCTCTGTCACTTGAGCCAGGCCCCAGTTCCTGCTTTTTGAACCCAACATTTTACCTATTGAAGTAAATACCAGAAGCTAGTGTTTCAGTATGTAGTTTTTCTGTTTCCTATGCCAAAATCCAAAACTTAATGTCTTTAACTGATGAGGTACATAGGAAATATAGGTACATAGATTGTTTTTCTGCGTGAAAATACAGTACAGAGGTGTTACAATGAGTACAGGTACATAGGATTTTGAATGGTAGTGGAATTTGAACTCAGGGCCTTGAGCTCCTGCTTATTTTTTATTTATACCACTTGAGCCACAGCTTTGGTTCCTGATTTTTGATTTTTGCTGCTAGGCCCCTTTAGAAGGTGGATGGGCCATGATACCTCGCATGTCTTTTTCCATTTATTCCTATGATGTATTACTTTCCAGTGTACATATTTCCTAATTTTCTCCCTGAAGTAGATTTTTCCTGTTATGTGAAATCTCACATATTTTCCCAATGCACAATGCACAGTGGATATGTATATGTTGGACTCTTCCACCAGTGAATTCAGGTCTATATACATATCCAATAGAGTCCAACATATACTACATTTACTCTGGCATTTATCCCAATTGATATAGGATGAACTTGAGGTTCAAGGTCTACTATGTCCTAGAGCTTGGTCATCCTATGCAGGCATGGCCTGGATTCCTTGCCACTCCCTGTGCATTGAACATTTTCTCCGTATATCCAGTAGGTTCTCTTGAACAGCTCTGTTTTCAGCCTCTTAGGATCCATATGCTCAGGACATCAGATTGTAGGTAGAAAAAAAAACACACAGTACTTAGGATTCATTGTATAACACAAAAATTTGACATTTTAATGAAGTTATAAGAATAAGTAGAAGGAATATATGACAGCAGTCATTACAAAAAGCAAAACAGGTATTTTCCCAGGGATGGGAGAGGGAAACTCTAAGTCCTGATAAGTCTCTAAGTTGCCTTCAGGAAGAAATTCTAAGTCAGAGTCTTCCAAGGGATCTATCTCTTCATGAAAGGCAGGATTTTCTTCCTGAGTTGAGGGAAGAGCATATTCTAATTTCTCAATTGGAGATTGGTTCTCCTGTAGCAGGAAAGATTTGTATGCATATTTTGTAAGGACAAATTCACTTTCCTTGACTGAATCTAGAATTTGGACCTCATTTAGTGGTGCTCCTGAACTTAGATTAGGGACACATGTTAGTTGATCCTGCACAATAAGCGGTGTGTCGGTTTGACTTGTTTGGAGCCGATCTAGGGGGACCGTGAAAGTCAGAGGAAGAAATTCTGGATCTTCATCCTCCTCAGGGATACCTGCAGGTTCACCTGTGTCACATGTGGGCTTCACAACAAGGGGGGCATCCACAGGATTCAAAATCTCTTTGGGCCTCACTGCGAAAGGCACAAAGCGCTGGATATTCACACGGTTTCTGTAGTCTGGTGATGGCTCCAGAACTCCATCGGTCACCATTGCTGACATCACTGATTGGTTCTGTATCTCCCGTTCAGGAGAAGCTGCTCTACGGCGGCCAAAACCTGAGAATGGAAATAGGTACAGGATCCTTAGAGTGGACTCTAGAAGTTCTGCTATGACTCAACTTCCATGCTGATCTAATGGAGGAAGCTGCAGACTGAGTTTGGACTGAACTTTGATGAGAAGGTAGGGTCTTTCTCATGCGTGGCTATGTCTGAGTGCTTCCAAGAACAGAACAGACATTGCCTGGCAGAGAATATCCATAAAAGGACATTTTGCCAACCTGGGTAGTACTAAGGGCTCCCAGCCAATCGGGACCAATCCCAGGGGCCCAGTATCCATCCCTACTCACAAGCTGTCAGGCATCTGCACGTGGCCTTCTTCCTCTTTTTCTCCAGCTGGTCAAGAAGAACCTGTAAGCGGAGGAGCAGGTCCGAGGAGGGCATGTTGAGCATGATGTAATACATGAGGTCATTCAGGCTGTCTTGGTTCTTGGGTTCACGGAAATCATCAGGGTAGCAGTCCATCCACATAGTGAAGAAGGAACAAAGGGCACTGTGGGCAGATTGGTGACAAGGAAGTGAGAGCTCACCCTCCCCATCCTGGGCCCCCCATAGCTTCTTTCTGGCTGGATGCCCATGCTGTGGCTGTCCATCCTGTATGCATTTACATGTTGGGAAGTGTCATCATTGAGAGTCCACAACCACACCACAGCCATGTCCCCTGCCACTCACTGATGTCCCAAGCCTCCACCCCTCCATGGTACAATTCACAAGTGGTTCCCAAGCAAGAAATTTGCACTTTGAATCAGCAGCCTCAAAGGTACCCATTTTGCAAGGAGAAGCCTTTTTGTGCCAAAGTCAACTTACTTCTTAACGTGTTCGTCTTCCTCACAGCCAGGGCGGAGGGATCTGTACCTATGGGAGAGGAGGAGTTCAGCTGTATTGTTTTCTTTTTGGCGCTAACAGGATATGAAGAGGCTAGCTAAGACCCAGATGGGAATGTAAGATTGAGAGAGAGACAAGTGAGATATTTATACAGTCTGAAAATTCTATAAAGAGGCTTATATGTTGTCTAAGTAAAGGTGGCTAATGCTTCTAATCCTAGCAAATCAGAATGCTGAGGTCTGAGGATCACAGTTTGAAGCCAGCCTGATCAGGTTAAGTCTAAAGACACTTCAGTGAACCCACAAAAAACACGCAGGCCCTGAGTTCAAGATGCAGGACTGGCACACACACAGCTAACACTTCAGAGGCTTGAAAATAAAGGCAACATAATCCCTCCTTGATGGCTCAGAAGTGATTCAGCCCCCAATTCACCCTGCCCCAGCCTTTCCTCTCTCTACATTATTTCACAGGCCTCCAAGATTACTACTGAAACCTTATTTAATCATGGGAAATGTGGTTTCTTTCCTAGGGCCTCATTCAGGTGAAGGCTGAAGTTGGGTGCCGCTAGCTCATGCCTGTAATCCTAACCTCTCAGTACACAGACTTCTGAGCCTCCAGTTTAGCTTCCGAGGGAAATGAAATGTCCACACTGGAGACACAAGAGTCCTGAGTGGTCTAGACCTAAGAAATTAGCCAGGGTGTACACTTTTTCATCCCATGTTCCCATAAGAAGACCCCAGTAAAAGGAACAGGCTCAGAGAGGTGCCAAGAATTCCCAAGATGCAGCCAGGAGGGGCTGAGCAGCCCTGGGATGGATGGGGGAACACTCACTTTTTGAACAGAATAGCCAGCACTTGGTCCAACGTCCCACACTTTCTGTAGCTGTGTAGGAAGCTTTGAATAAAAAAGAGGTCGCCTTTCTGGTGGGCAGGGACCAGGTTCATCACCAGCTTTTCCAGCAGGCCTGCCTCCTGGCTCCATACGTTATATGGCACATTCAGGGTCGGGGCTGAATAATTGCCACCCTAAGGTGTTAAAGAGAAACCATCTTAGAGACATGGGAATGGAGCACACTTCAAATTGAGAAATTGTGATAGAGGGGAGTGAAAAGTACACAGAAAGCATTATCTCAGTATAGATACTTAAGAGCACACAAGAAAAAGGTTCTAAAGTGGGCCAAGGTTGGGATCAAATAGGTTACCGATCGTGAGCATACCTGGCCTGAGTTGCCTTGTATTTCTCGCGGTTTCTTGAAAAACTGCCTAAGACGTTGGATTCGTGGCTTGGCACCGATCCAGCGTCTGAAGCTCTCTTGCCTGAGACCAGAGTCTCGTGACCTGCGAATACAACACGAGAACATCTTTCCCGTTCCTGAGTCGCAGGTCAAGTGAGCTGGCTTGTGCCGACTATCACTTAAATAGCCTGGCTATCAGGCTTCCATGCTTTATTCCATTGTGAGGAGGCAGGGTCACCTCTCAGGGCCCAGTGACCTATGCTGCTGCCTCACACAGGACAAACTGCAGGCTGAAATCCCTCCTGTGTCACAATGTGCACATGTAGTCACAGTTAACAGCACACCTTGTCTGTTGAATCTCAACCTCCTCTGCTAGGCCTAGGTACTGGCATGGTCTCAGTGTCCAGGAGCCATCCCTAGGTCAGATCCATCCCCTATTGTTCCTCTCATGCTGCACAAATCATTCTGCCTCTCGGGTCCCTCTCAGCCTGCCATGTGCTTCTTGCACATAGTTTGACATCTCTGTCCTAGGATATTGTTAGCCTTCTGTATCGTTATCTGTTTGCCCTTGAAGCAACTCTGTGCTGTCATCTGGGGAAAATGCAAAAACTCAAGAGATGGGAAAATCAAAGAAGTATTTGGAAACAAAACACACATAGACATTTTTACATGTTTTTTGGAAGTCCCGGGGTTTGAACTCTGGGCCTGGGCGTTGTCCTTGAGATCTTCAGCTCAAGGCTAGCACTCTACCTCTTGAGCCACAGCGCCACATCTGGTTTTCTGAGTGGTTTATTGGAGGTGTCTCTCTCGAACTTTCCTGCGGGGTTGGCTTTGAGCCATGATCCTCCCTTCTCAGCCTCCTGAGAGGTGTGAGCACCAGCACCCGGCTACAGGTCTTCATTTTTGTAAAAGACTTTTTGATACTTTTGGAATTTTTTTTTGTCGGTCATGGGGCTTGAACTCTCAGCCTGGGTGCTGTCCATCAGCTCTTCAGCTTAAGGCTGACGCGCTACCACCGGAGCCACAGCGCAGCTTCTGGCTTTTTTCTGCATATGTGGTGCTGAGGAGTCGAACCCAGGGCCTCATGCATGGAAGGCAAGCAATTTACCATGGAGCTACCATCCCAGCCCTTTGGAAAATATTTTATGAAGGAGGTAAGGGACAAAGAAAACAGGTGCTCCACTGTCATCTTCGTAATATGATGATGACTTTCATTTAAAAATACAGCTTTGAAGGAATATAATATTCAAAGATATAAAACTGTCTTCGTGGGGCTGGGAAAGTGGCTCAGTGGTAGAGCGCTTGCCTTGCATGCCTGAGGCCCTGGGTTTGATTCCTCAGCACCACATAAGCAAAAAGAAAAAAGCCGGAAGTGGCCCTTTGGCTCAAGTGGTAGAGCGCTGGCGTTGAGCTGAAGAGCTGAGGGACAGCGCCCAGGCCCAGAGTTCAGGCCCCACGACCGGACCCCTCCCCCCCCCCCCCCAAAAAAAATAAACTGTCCTCGTAAGTCTTGTGCTTTGCCGGCACCAGGAGCAGTGCACATGCGCCCTTCCTTCACGTGGCACGCTTATTTTCAAAGCCGGGATAGGAACTGTGGTGGTCATCCTCGGCCTGAGACTACGGATAGTACTTTGGACCCAGGAGGTTATTCCTGGGGAGTGTCTCAGTCTCTTGGTAGTGGCTTGGTCTGGTGGGGATACCATGGAGATCCTGAGACTAGTTGGAAGCTTGTGCAATGCTTATTTGCCTAGACATTATATCATTGCTGATACTGGTAAAATGAGTGCCAGTAAAATTAATTCTTTTCAACTTGATCATGCTGGAAGAGAACCTCGTACCATGGACACCAAATACCACCTCCCCGAATTCCGAGAAGCCAGCAGTCCTGGCTGTCCACAGTGCTCACCACCATCTGGGCCCCTGTGGCTCTCCTTTCCTATGGTTTTCCAGATAAAGCCAGATTTGGTGTTGTGTAACAAACCAGGAACATATGTTCCTATCTGTGTATCTGCCCTCCTCCTTGGCATCCTTGGAATACAGAAGGTGATCATTGTCTTCGTTGAGAGCATCTGAGGAATGGAAACATTATCCCTGTCCGGAAAGATTCTGTTCCATCTCTGGGATTACTTCATTGTTCAGTGGCCAGCTCTTAAGGGGAAGTATCCCAAAGCTGTGTACCTTGGGCAAATTATTTGACCAATGGCAACTTATTTCTTTAGAATTTTGCAGTCAACAATATTGACAGCACACTGATGAAGACTTCTCAAAGTCTTAAGAATTATGGATGGCCATGCTTAAATAATGTACAAATAACTCATAGAGAAACTGAGATGCTTGAGTGATAGCACACACCTGTAATCCCAACACTAGAACACCTAAAGCAAGAAGAGTGCAGGCTCTAGAACAATCTGTACTACATAGCAAATCCCTGTTTAAGAAGAAGAAAGAGAAGAAGGAAGGAAAGAGGGAGGTAAGGAGAGAGGGAGGGAGTCCTCTCATAGAATTATTAAAATGTTAATAAACTGTTCATATCAAATATTTATGCCTCTATACATCATATTTCTTCTTAGGTTAAAATATGAAACACTACCTGCAAGTTGTCTTACAAATTTAGTACTTTTTTCTCAACCTATTAGAAAGTTAATATGAAATAGAAAACATATATGTATATGAAATAGAAAGCAGCATTTCTTTCTTTAAAAAGTATTCTGCATCATTAAAAGAAAGTTTACTTCTTCATTTTTTTGTTCTGATGCAACAAGCTTTATTTCCTGCGTGGAATCAGTGATGTCTCTACTGAGCTCTTCTGCGTGAAGGAAGCAGTTGTGTGAAACTGGCTTCATGACTGCTTGCACTCCACAGGCTTCAAACCTCAAGCCAGACTATCTCTCAAAATACCTAATTTAATTGTTAAAAATAAAAGGCCTGGTGCTGATGGCTCACACCTGTAATCCTAGCTACTCAGGAGGCTGAGATCTGAGGATAGCCAGCCCAGGCAGGAAACTCCATGAGACTCTTATCTCCAGGAAACTACTTATAAAAGCCAGACATGGCCCTGTGGCTCAAGTGGTAGTACCCCTCCCTTTGAGGAAAAGAAAGTCACGGACAGTGCCCAGGCCCGGTGTTCAAGTCCCAGGACCAGCAAAAATTAATTAAAAGGTGACCACTATCACTGTAATAAAAACATGTTTATTTATCAGGAACCCAGGTTTTTTAAAACATCAAAAACAAATGTTCATGAATTCACAATGCCTTGTCCATAGTCACCTCTGGCATGTTAAGATGATTAGGCTTGGAGTATATTTACTATACATTTATCTAATGTTTGCTTTATGCCAGATATTCTAGACACTTTTCAAACCAGAGAACTTGATGAGGGAGATGCCTTGTCCAGAATCACATGACTTAAAACATTTTTTTTTTTTTTTGTCAGTCGTGGGGCCTGAACTGTGGGCCTGGGCACTGTCCCTGAGCTTTTCAGCTCAAGGGCTAGTGCTCTACCACTAGAGCCACAGTGCCACTTTCAGCTTTTTCTGCTTATGTGGTGGTGAGGAATCGAACCCAGGGCCTCATGCATGCAAGGCAAGCACTCTACCACTGAGCCACCTTCCCAGCCCCCACTTAACACATTTTCAAAGCCAGATGCAAGCTTGGGTAGCCTGGCTTGGGAGGAGGGAGAGAGGGGCAATCACAGTTGGATGTGGGTCACAAAGGGTGACACACTTAGGTGCGCCTCTGAGCTTGACTCAACACTTGGCTGTCCCTTTGGAGTTTCTTGGTAATTGTGATTTCTGGTCACGTTTTGTTGTTGTTGTTCTGCAGTGCCGGAACTAGAACCCAGATCCTTGCACATGATAAATGAGCACTGTGCCCCTGAACTCTACCCCCAGCCCTCTTAGTAATTCTTGAGCAGGAACTGATATTTCAACCCCAACAGTTATATAGCTTATTCTGGTTACTATAGCACAAACATCCCTAAACTGCTCCTTTGCCCCTTAAGAGAGAGAGAGAATGAGAGAGAGAGAGAGAGAGAGAGAGAGAGAGAGAGAGAGACCTTTGCATATGTGAGTTTATGTATTATTCCTTTGAATCTTTTGTTGTATAAATACGATGTAAATGGAATAAGAATGGAGAATAATTAATGAAGGGATTTAATTTACTTTAAAAAAGGAAAACTGTACTCGTGCTTTTCACAAGCTCTTCACTTATACACTATTTGCCTCAAGTCTTGGCTTCTGTGTCCCATCACCCACTGTTCCTGATCCTCCTCCTTGAACACAATGAGGAAAAAGAAATTTCATAAATCATTTAGCTGCTATCCAATCTATGGATGTGAATTTAAGATCAAATATTGGCTGTAATTGTGTGTGTGTGTGTGTGTGTGTCATTTTTTTGGTGCCAATCCAGGGGTTTGAACTCAGGGCTTGTGAGATATCCCTGAGCATCCTAGTTGCTCTACTATTGAGGCTAGCTCCACTTCAGCTTTCTGTAGTAATATAGTAATCTAATACAGTAATCTAGTAATCTAACTTGTTACTCTAATAGTTAATTGCAGATCAGACTCATGAACTCTCCTGTCTGGCTGGCTTGGAATTGAATCCTCAGATCTCAGCCTCTTGAATATCTAGGGTAACAGACATGAGCCACCAGCACCTGCTGGTAAAGTGTTATTAATTGAGGTTTAGGTGTTGCAAGTTAGAGTGCAGCTTCACAAAACAGTAAAATCTCATACCAAAATACAATAATAAGATGGGATGTGGAAGCCGGGTGCCAGTGGCTCATGCCTGTAATACTAGCTACTCAGGAGGATGAGATCTGAGGATTGAGGTTCAAAGCCAGCCCCGGCAGGAAATTCTGTGAGACTCTTATCTCCAATAAGCTACCATAAAACTGGAAGTGGCACTGTGGCTCAAGTGGTAAAGCACTCTCCTTGAGCTGAAGAGTACAGGGACAGCGCCCAAGCCCAGACAAGCCCCATGATCGATAAAAAAAAAAAAAGACGGGATGTGGATAAAATTTAATGTGATAGTATGCTATCCTAACTTGCAGGAGACCCTAGTCTCAATATCTAGTATCACAAAACTAAGTAAAATGAGCTAATTTCAAAAGATTCTACCTATATTGTATTTCCATCATATAATGGTTCAGAAAAGTGAAAAGAGTTAAAAAGGAAAATCATTCGTATTTATAAGGGGAATAGAAGGAAAGATGGCAGAACCAGAAAAGGAAAATTATACACAGCAAGAAAATGGTCTGGCATTGTCATGGTAGATATAAGATAGTGTTCTTCAGAGCAACAATGGATAAAAATACATTTACTACCTGTAATCCTACTTGTTGCTATCCCTGCCCACTTCTAAATCTCCAGGGCACATTATCAATTTATGGATGTTTATCATATATTCCAAAATAACTGGTAGAGTCATGATTACCAAACTACATTAGCAGTCAGTGTGTTAGGAGATAAATGTGCTCATTATATTGGTCTGATTATTATATATAGTAAACAAGGAGTGTGTTCTCACTGTACACCCTAAGTATGTACAAATACTACTTTAAAGTGAATCAGAATACAAGAAGGTTTTGAAGGCGCATGCTGTAATGCTAGCTGTTTGGGAGGTTGACATCAGTTCAAGAGCAGTCTAGTTATACGTGCAATGCTTCGTCTCAACCACCAGCTTTGTGTGTCACCGGAGGACTGTGATGGCACACATCTGTCATCTCAGGTACATGGGAGGCTGAGAGCAGGAGGATTTCAATTCCAGGCCAGCCCATGCAAAAAGTTCCATGTGACTTCATTTTAACAACAGAAGGTTTGGTACTGGTGAGCACCAATCACCCCATCTGGAGGAAAAGTAAAAATAGAAACATTGTAGTATCAAAAAAAAAAAAAAAAAACAGGGGCTGGGAAGGTGGCTTAGTGGTAGAGTGCTTGCCTTGCATGCATGAGGCCCTGGGTTCGATTCATCAGCACCACATAAGCAAAAAAGAAAAAGTTGGAAGTGGTGCTGTGGCTCAAGTGGTAGAGTGCTAGCCTTGAGCTGAAGAGCTGAGGGACAGCGCCCAGGCCCAGAGTTCAGGCCCCACGACTGGACCCAAAAAAAAAAAAAAAAAAAAAAAAACACCAAGATTAAAACATACCAATGTAAATCATCATAAACAATAGATATCCAGTGCTGGTTTCTCACACTTCAATTCTACCTATAGAGGAGACTGAGATCTGAGGATACTGGTTTGAAGCCAGCCTTGGAAAGAAAGTCCTTAGCCAGGTGCTGGTGGCTCATGCCTGTAATCCTAGTTACTCAGGAGGCTGAGATCTGAGGATCGAGGTTCCAAGCCAGCAAGAAAGTCTGTGAGACTCTTATCTCTGATTAAACACCAGAAGACTGGAAGTGGTGCTGTGGCTCAAGTGATAGAGTGCTAGCCTTGAGCTGAAGAGCTGAGGGACAGCTCCCAGGCCCAGAGTTCAAGCCCCCAGGACTGACAAAAAAAAAAAGAAAGTAAGAAAGAAAGAAAAAGAAAGTTCTTGATATTTTTATCTTTCATTAATCATTAAAAAGGCAGTAGTGGAACTGTGACTCAATTCCCATTGTACCAGCCTTGAGGGAAAATGCTAACTGGCTGCACCCAGTCCCTGAGATGAATCATTTTTCCTCTCAGGGGCCTCTCAACTCGACATGTGCTTCCTGCCCATTTTCTGTTGACATCTAGGCCCTAGGTCATTGTTAGAGGTGTCTGTGTTCTAAACATCTGCTTGTCTTTGAAGCTCCTCTGTGGTGTCATCTAGAGCTAATGAAAATACTAAGAGATTAGAAAATAAAAATGTTTGAAAATAAACATTGCACACATGGACATTTTCACAGATTTGCATTTTTCTAAAAGTCTATTAATGATACTTATCAAATTATTAGATGCAATAGTTATCAATTATTACATGGAAGCAGGCAAGGAGAGAGGGGGACATCTGCTCTGTTGTTCCCTATTATGGTTATTATCACTATTGTCACTTACAAAAATACTACAACTTTGAAGCAGGGTAAAATTTAAAGATAGAAAACTCAGTTGATGTGCCTTTTTTACAAGCATATTAGTTTATACAGCCCTGGTGCTGGTGAAGAGGGCGTAAAGATGTGAGTGGGTAAAGTAAGTCCTGCCTCTTGCACTAACTGGGTCAGGCAAAGGTATTGTACCTCACTCACCTATGACAGTAGGAATTGGGTTTTCATTCATTTTGTTCAGCTTTTTTGTGACATGATTTTTGAGGCATCATCGATCCAAACATACATTCTGTATGGGCATACTCCCCTCCCCCATGAAAGCTGCTGAGCAGCAGGCGGGCCTGATACCATCCTAGGAAGCCATGCACAGGATTACGAGCCCCATTGCCAACCACCAGGACTGCAGCGTAGTCCTGGAATAGCAGCGCACTGAAGGACCATTGTTAGGAGAGATTGGCAACTCAATCAAAACCAGGTCACCACTTACTCCACCAGGAATGGGCACGCTTACTTATTTCCTTGGTGATCAAGGGGCAAGAATGGCACCTGATAGCTCATTGATGTGGCCTGGATGCCAGGCATCTCCAGGTGGAGCAGGACAAAGGTGGACTACATCCTAATCCATTGTCAGTTGGCCTGCCAGGGCCCTCAGAACCTGGGGAGGGGAGACAAAGCAAATGCCCGCTTGAGAAGAGGAGTGAACCACACGCCACACCACCCCAATCCCCTGCACACCAGTGCTTCTGCTCTACTTTCTCCAAGACTTCGACGCCCCTGATCTGCCTACTGCCCCACTGCACCCTTCTTCTGTGAGAGCACACTTTCTTGTTGGGTTGGAAAGAAGGCAAGCTGCAAACAGAACCCATAGGACAAAGGTCATCCCAAGTCCATAATGTCAGACGCATACCCACTCATATGGCCACACTAACATTGGGCTCTGCAACTGACTGGCTCTCAGGCTCTAGAGTTGGGCAGGGCAAGTTCTAGAGAATTGGAAGCAAGGGCACCCGGCACATTAAACTCCTATGTCCAAGTTTCCCTCATAAAACCCATGGAGAAGTGCCACCCAGCAACAATTCCCCTTAGGGAGGAAGGCTTGAAATCCTCAAAGAAAGTAGGTATGTGTATGGCACCAGAACAAGGATACTGTCTTCCTAAACTGAGCCTCTGGTCATTCCAACCAAGCCTAGAGTTTGACAGGCAAACTATCATAGAAGGCAGCCCCTGCCCATCCTCTTTGCAAATGCAACCCAGATGATAGATGGGGAGCCCATGTGAGTGGAGGTGACCCCAACCTCTCCATGGTTCCTCATGGGTCGGATAGCAAGCAGGGATGCATTTATCACACCAGGGACCACCAAAAGCCAGTGGGAATTAACAAATAGTCATCCGATTGGACAGGCTATCTCAGAAGGCAATGTTGTGGCCCTGATGTGATCACACATCCTTGTGCCTACCAGTCAGGCCCTCTTGGCCCCGTTTTATCCTAACCCAATGCTAGCCCAAGAGGCATATCTCCCCAAAGGTCTTGCTATCCCATTTCTAGGTGCAAAAGGATCCCATATTCTGCTAACCCAGTCCAGGAGAAAATGGTTCCTATTCTAAGAATGGCTCTTCCCTGGGTCTTGCTTGTGGGCCTTGCCCAGCAACACCAGGTCAATTTCCTGTTTGGCTGACTGACCACTCTGAGACAGAGCAACTCTGCATCTGGCCCCAATTCAAAGGCCGCGAACACCAAGGTCATTCCACCAAGCATTCCAGGGGGCTTGTACACATGGCTAAACAGAAGGACGGATGGTCATCCCTTACTGGCAAGGCACCTCCTCACAGCTGCTCCTCACAGGTGCAAGGATGTGAGTGGGAAAAGTAAGCCCTGCCTCACTCCTACGCTAGCTGGGTCAGGCAAAGGTGCTAGACATCACTCACCGATGAGAATAAGAATTGGCTTTTAACTCATTTTGTTCAGTTTTTTTTGTGACATGATTTGAGGCATCATGGATGCAAATACATATTTTGCAGGCACACATGCCTTCCCCATGAAATTTGTGGGGCAGCAGGTGGACCTGATACCATCTAGGGAAGCTATGACTGGTACAATCGAGGAACTCAGCCCCATGGCCAACTGCCAGGACTGCTACACTGAAAAACAGTTCAGGAGCTGGGAATGTGGCTTGGTGGTAGAGTGCTTGCCTAGCATGCATGAAGCCTTTGGTTTGATTCCTCAGTACCACACACAGAAAAAGCCAGAAAGAAGTGGCACTGTGGCTCAACTGGTGTGCTATCCTTGAGCAAAAGAAGCTAGCTCAGGGACAGTGCCCTGGCCCTAAGTTCAAGCCCCACGACTGGCAAAAAAAGGTAGTACACTGAATAAGGAAGGATGGGCATCCTAAATGGAACAGATCGATCTCTATCCCACTGGGCATGGGCATACTTACTTAGTTTTCTCAGTGACCAAGGGGTGAGAACGGCACCAGCCAGCTCATTCCTGTGGCCTGGGTACCCGCCACCTCCATGTGGAGTAGGACAAAGGCAGACCATTTCCTGACCCATTGTCAGCTGGCCTTCCAGGGCCTCAAAGCCTGGGTAGGGAGACAAAGCGAATGCCAACTTAAGGATCGTGAACCACACGCTACACCTTGCACGCCAGTGCTGTCTCACATCCGCTTCTGTTCTACATCTCTGGTACCACCCTTTTACACACACACACACACACACACACACACACACACACCCCGCCTCCCAAGCAAAGCCCAAGTCCTAGAACCCCTGTCGATGGGCCCCCTTCCAAGGTTCTTGCCTGGGCCATGAGCAAGTAGTTGGCTGGAGTGGGCGCAAATGAGTCGGGCCTCACTCCTACCCCACCCAAGTCAAGCCAGGTGCTGGACCTTTGTCACCGATGAGAGAGACAGGAATGAGTTTTCACTCATTTTTGTCAGCTTTTCCAAGGTATTTTTTTTAGGGGGTGGGGTGGTATCATCATGAATTCGAGCACAACCACTAAAGTCACAGGGCAGCAGGGCAGCCCAGGACCTAGGAGGCCTGATGGACAGAGGACAAAAATGCTGGCATGGTACCACAACCTGGCAAGTGGGGAGACATCAAGAGAACAGGACGCAGGCGCGTGGGACCCGCATCCGTGCCCCGCAGGAGCATCCGGGCACTTCCCGCGCTCTCGGAGCTTGTGCTGACTCCGGGAACGGGCAAGGCTGCGCTGGCCTGGCTCGCGCGCGCGCGCGCATGCGTGCGAGGCGGCGGGCCGGTGGCTGCCCGGCCGCAGCCAGCGTCTCCCTGTCTCCTGGGACATTGAGTGCAGCCACGGAACTGGCCTCACCGGGTGTGATCACACACCGGCGCTTCACAGTTTGGGAAATCACTTATTACCACCCAAGAATTCCTTCACCCTTTCCCGCGCGACTCCCCCAAAGCTCAGCAGCCGGTCCGAGGGAGGTCTGCGAGGCTCGGAGCCGCGCACCTGCCATTGCGTCATCACTCCGCGCGCGCGCCGTCCCGGCCCCAAGTTAACCGAAACTAAGATGTCAACCCTTTGTACGGAGGCCTGTAGGAGCCTAAACTGCGGAAGTCCGCGCCGCTCGCCGGAACGGGCCTAACGGCTGTGCCGGTTTCGCTTTTGTTTTCAAGGATGGCGGCCTAGTGACGTTCTGCACATTTTGCTTGCGTTTAAGATTAACGCTCTAGTGTCCCACACAAGTTCACATCTCCAATCAACGACGTGTTCCCCACACAACACGGACTTGAAAGCTTCCGCTCAGCGGGCGCCGCTGACTCGCCCTGTAATCCTGGCAACTCAGGAGGCTGAGTTCTGAGGACCGGGGTTCGAAGTCAGCCTGGGCAGAAAAATCCGCGAGACTCTTGTCTCCAGTGAGCACAAAAAGCCGGAAGTGGCGCTGTGGCTAACGTGGTAAGGCAATAAATAACCTTGAGCACAAAGGCTCAGAGAAAGTGCCAGAACCCAGTTCAAACCCCAGGACCAGAAAAAAATTAAAAAGTTACAGCTTAATGTCTTTGCTTTCTTGCTTTTATCTCTCCCGTTTTCTAAATTTAAAGTGTATTTTCAACGTTTACTCAAAACCAACAGAAGCCATGCATTGGTGGCTCACACCTGTAATCCTAGCTACTCAGGAGGCTGAGATCTGAGGATTACAGTTCAAAGCCAGGCCAGGCAGAAAAGTCTGTGAGATTTTTATCTTCAATAAACTACACACGCGCGCACACACACACACACACACACACACACACACACACACGCCAGAAATGGAACTATAGCTCAACTGCTAGAGTGCTAACCTTGAGGGCAAAAGTTCAGGAATGGTGCCTAGGCCCAGAGTTCAGTGCCCAGAGCTAGCACATACAAAATAATATCTTCATGAATATCTCCTTGACTATGAACATCTTAGGATAAAATCCCACTAAGCATCCAACCATCTTCCTTTGAAATGTCAAATTATGTGTTTGCATATGGTGTGTCTACATAGAGTTGATTGTGGCAGCGTTTCCGCATTTTGTTTGCTTCCCTGAGAGAGGGAAGTTGTCCCAACTGATAGATGAAGAGAACCAGGATCAAGTGGCCCACTATTCTGGGCCATCTGGCTTGTGCTATGATACTCCTTGTGTTCCTAAACAACAGGGGCTCCATCTCAGCATATGACAGCATCCTTCTATTGCCTGGTTCTTTGCCAATCTCTTCAGCATTCGCTGACACCTATTAGTCCAGCAGCTTCTTTCTCATACCCACCAGGTCAGTGTGTTTTGTTCTATTCAGGCCCCAGTTGTTCTACAAGGAGATTCAGATAGCATTTAGACAATCGAAGTTGTTGTATGAAATGGATTTTAGATTTAGTACTCTAAAATTGCACATCTTAGAATGAAAAAAAGAGTGACATTTTATTAAATCAGCAATTAATATAACAACACTGAAAAGAAACAGAAAAGGTAAAACAGATTATTTTCTCCCAGGGAAAGGCAGAAGGGAAGGGAGCTGCTGTCAGGTGGACAGTTGGAGGTCCACCAGTGGCTCAACCTCCATAGAAAACAAGTACATGCAAGAGATGCATTGTGTACACTTTCCTATCCTTCATGAGTACAGATGTGGTGAGTAGACAAAGTTTAGGCAGCTCCAGGTGAATATCCCCTGCCAATGACAGGAACATGTTACCTCCTGCTTTTATAACTGGGTGCTCTGTATTTCAGGTGGGTGACCAGAACCAGCTGGAGGCCCACAGGAGGCAGAAGGTGTTGTGCTCCTTACACAGAGGACGCATACTGCACTACCTCGATGTGGGGCACGGAGTCCTATGGAGGCCCCAGATCATCTTCTGTGACTGGTGAAGCTGCGGATTCCACTACCTCATCTGCTGCCATCATGGATGGATCCTCTGCCTTGATCTCAGGAGCAGGTGCTGTGTGCAGCCCCAAATCTAAGGCTGGAAATAGATGCACTGTTAATGGAGGGAGCTCTAGAAGTTGAGATGGGACTGAATCTTCAAGGAGAGTGTAGGTGTTGATAATGAATGCCTATGCCTGAGAGTCTCCATACAGAGAGTAGAGGCTGTCTGACATAGAATACCCATCACAGGACATCTTTCCTGATTGAGTTTTACCTCATGGTTACTGGCCAATCACCAGCCTGGGATTCTTATCCCATGGGGGACCGGTTTTCATCCCTACTCACATGTTCTCAAGCACTTACCTGAGGACTCCTCTGTCTTTTTGCCTGCCTCCTTGTTCTCTTGCTCCTTCATCTGGGTGAGGAGGAGGTGTCCACGGACTGCCAAGTCTGAGGAGGGCATGTGGAGCAGCACATAGGCCATCAGCTTATTCAGGTTGGCCAGATCCTTGGACTGGCAGAAATCCTCGGGGTACTTGTCCAGCCACATGGCCAGCATGGAACACAGGGTTCTGTGTGCAGTTGGATAGAAAGCAACTGTCTCCTACCTGAGCTCCTTCACAGCCCCTTGCTGGGAGAGCTCCCATGCAGAGACTGCCCACCTCATAGACTTGCAGGTTGGGAAGAGGGAGGAGACTCATGTGAGGAGAAGGCTGTCTACAGTTGCCCTGTGGCACCCATTGGAGGCCCTGCTAGGATTGGATAGTATAGGATTGCTTCTCCATGGGGTTTTCAGTCCACATCTCCCCTCTCCTCCCTGGTAGACCAGGACACTCCACATGCCTTTACAAGATGCCTCAGGTGCCATCACAAGTGATGAGATCACTAAACCAGAGTTTCCTACCTTGTATCCCAAGCTCTAATAGTTAGCCCACACTTCCGTGAGAGCCCTTCCCTCTGTCCCCAATTCCACTCACTTCTTTACTTGTTCATCCTCCTCAGAGTTAGGATGGAAATGTGAATATCTACAGGAAGAGAGGAGGAAGTCATGTTTCCATCATCCTCTTTTTCTCTTCTGTTCTCTCTCTTTCCTTCTTTCTTTCTTTTCTCTTTTTCTTTCTTTTTGTTTTTTTGGTTGGTCCTGAGGCTTGAACTCTGGGCCTAGGCCCTGTCCCTCAGCTCTCCAGCTCAAGGCTAGTGCTCTACCACTTTGAGCCACAGCTCCACTTCTGGTTTTCTGAGTGGTTTATTGGAGATAAGAGTCTCATGACCTTTCCTGCTAGGGCTGGCTTTGAACCATGATCCTCAGACCTCAGCCTCCTGAGTAGCTAGGATTACAGGCACCTGGCTCCACCACCCTCTTTTTCTGACCTCCCAGGAAGTCAAGATGGGCTGGCTAAATCCAGGATGAGAATGGGGAGATTTATATGCACAGTTCCCTGACTTTTGCACTAAGGACTTGGTATGTGCCTCTCCAAAGTGCATGCTTCATCTTTTTTTGTTTTTTTGGTTTTTTTTGGTCAGTCATGGGGCCTAAATTCTGGGCCTGGGCGCTGTCCCTTAGCTCTTCAGCTTAAGGCTAGAGCTCTACCACGAGCCACGGTGCCACTTCTGGCTTTTTCTGCTTATATGGTGCTGAGGAATCGAACCCAGGGCCTCATGCATGCAAGGCAAGCACTCTACCACTGAGCCACCTTCCCAGCCCTTTAAAGTGCATGCTTCATATGTTGGCACAGTGATCCTTCGCTGATGACTCAGTAGACATAGAGCCCTCAGTCTACCCCTATGCTGTAGACCTTTCTCAGTCTCCAGTTTTCTAGGGGCCTTGAAGATTGCTTTGGGAACCTTGCTAACTTATAGAAAATGTATCAGAGGGCTTCAAATACATGATTCCTTACTCAGAGTTCTGTGTTTAAGGAAGTAATATGTTCCCTCCAAGGAACCCATGGTCCTAGGCTTCCCACTTCAAAGGAACAAGCTTGGGAAGGCATTGACTGGTCTCATCCCAGGGTACAGTGTTTTCTAGCTCTAGCCAGGAGGGTGGCCACATCACTTTGGTTTGGATAGGGCACTCACCTGTTAAATAGAAGTTCCAACACTTGCCCTGTGGTGGTGAACCTCCTATAAGTAAACAGGAAGGCTGGCACGAAGAAGGGATCCTCTTTCTGGTGTCGAGGAACCAGGAGGTTTACCATCTTCTCCAGCATGCCTGGCTCCAGGGTGCTCACTGTTTGGGGCACGTCCTGGGCTGGGACTGGCTCCTTTTCCTCCTGAGGTGGGATCAAGGGAGGTAATTGAGAGGTGAGGTGGTAGGACCTTTGAAAACTGGACTCAGTGTGATCAAGTGAAGTGAAAAGTGCACAGAATTACTGTGAACAGGACACCTGGGAATTGAGGAGGGCTCTAGGGTTGGCTGGGATGACAGTGAGATAAATTACCTGGGCAGAGTTCATTTGCTGTGGCGCAGCATTTGTGCCATTTGTGTGCCTTCGGAAGAATTCCCTGAGTCGCCAAAGTCGGGGGTGAGCCCTGACCCAGCGACCACTGCGGGATCTCCTGATACCTGAGTCCCGGGATCTTGGCAGACAGCAGGAGAACATCCTCCTTCTTCAAGATTGCTAGCCAAGTGAGCTGGCTGCTGTTGATCTGGAATGTTGTTGCCTGGCTACCAGGATTCCATGTTCAGTTGGCCCCACCCTTAAAGACGTAGGACCCCCTCCCCAGTTCCCCCTTCCTCACACAAGGCCTCTCCAGAGGACTCAGTGGCTGCCAAAGTCCCCCTCCCTCATCAACATGCACACATATGGCCACATCACGCCCACCTTGTCCAATCTCACCATCCTCTGTCAGAACTGGCTATAGGCAGGGTTTCAGTTAAAAGGAGACAGAGCTCTGATTTCTTACCATTTGGCTGATCCTCGACAAGTCATTTTACATGTCATGGTCTTTTTGTCAACCCAGCTGTTTCCTGGCCTTTATTCCAATATCTGTGTCCTATGGTATTATTAGGTGTCTGTACCCTTAAACATCTGTTTTACATGGCTCAGGATGTTGGGGTGTCTTGTAAGAATAAGACCAACAAAAAAGAAATTCAGCAAGGCAAAGTTGACTTCTGCAGAGGGTTGGCATCTGTCCTGCATGCAGCAAGCAGGCTCCCTTTTTATCCCTAGCTCAAGAAAGTCTGTGAAAGTCTTATTTTCAGTTAAGCACCAAAAATGCTGAAAGCAGAGCTGTGACTCAAGTGGTAGGGTGCTAGTCTTAAGCAAAAAAGCTCAAGGACAGTGCCTAGGCTCTGAGTTCAAGTCCCAGGACCACCCTCCTCTTAGCATGCACACAAAGAAAGTTAAAGCATTAGGGAAACACATACAACATTGCCATTATTCTATGACTGCTTGTAGACAGACTGACAGGCAGGCAGATATAACTAATGGGGTAATAGAGATAGAGGGTCCAACACAAGATTTGTCCTTGAAATAGAAAAGTCCCCTGATGCATCTGATGGAATAAATACCTAAATCCCATGATACAATAAAAGGGAGGTGGTTTGAGGATAGTCAAAGATACAAAGATGTAGAAAAATGCCTGAGAGAAAGCAAAAATAAGATAGCAATAAAGTAATATACTGTGTAGTAGAAAATAGTTATATAGAGAGATCGTTACTGAGACATTCTGATTTGAGTCCCTGAGCTTTATGAATAGTAAACTATTCATACTGCAGGCACAAAGCAGGAGAAATTCAGGGAGAATAAGAAAGAGCCTCCAAAGGTAAAAGTGTGGCTCAAGTGACAGAGCAATAGCCTTAAGCAGGAAGAGCCAAGTGAGAGCACAAAGCCCTAAGTTCAAGCCCCAGTATCTCTGCCCCCACCCCCACACAATACTTAAAGGCTAAGGGTAAAGCTCATTCTCAGTGTATGCACATAGCGTTGAAGAGACATTGGAGTCAATCCCCAAGACCCCTCTACCCCAAAACAACAAAAAAGGAAGAGTCTCCATTATTATCCATTTTCTTAGACAATTGAAGCAAATATAGTAAACATTGAGATTGGACAGATAGAGGGTGGATGCATGCCTGTTTTGAAATGTTCTTTGTACTTTTAGTTATATTTAGGTGGTACTGTATTTTGGGGGAGTTGGATTTGAATGCAAGACCTTATAATTGCTAGGTAGGTGCTCTACTACTGGAGTACACCCGTTTTGCCCTGGGTATTTGTGTGTGTGTGTGTGTGTGTTTTTGGTTGTGGGGCCTGGGCGCTGTCTCTCAGCTCTTCAGCTCAAGGCTACCACTTGAGCCACAGCACCACTTCCAGCCTTTTTCTTTATATATGGTACTGAGGAATGGAACCCGGGGCCTCATGCATGCAAGGCAAGCACACTACCACTGACCCACTTTCCCAGCCTTTGTGGGTTTAAAAAAAATTTTTTTTTTGCCAGTCCTGGGGCTCGAACTCAGGGCCTGGGCACTGTCCTTGAGCTTCTTTCGCACAAGGCTAGCACTCTACCACTTGAGCCACAGCACCACTTCCAGCTTTTTCTGTGTATGTGGTACTGAGTTCTAAAATCCAGGCTTCGTGCATGCTAGGCAAGCATTCTAAACACTACACCACATTCCCAGCCCTAAATTTTTTTTATTGTTATTATAAAGGTGATGTATAGTGGGGTTACAGTTACATATGTCAGGTAATGAGTATATTCCTTTTTGGACAATGTCACCCCTTCCCTTACTCTCTCCCAGTTTTTCCCAGTTTTTCAGGTAGATTCTCATGTTTTGGAGGTATCCCAATTTTATTTTATTTTTTTGTCGGTCGTGGGGATTGAACAACTCTGGGCTTGGGCGCTGTCCCTCAGCTCTTCAGCTCAAGGTGAGAGCTCTACCACTTGAGCCACAGCGCTACTTTTCTAGTGGTTTATTGGAGATAAGAGTCTCACGGACTTTTCCTGCCCGGGCTGGCTTTGAACCATGATCCTTAGATCTCAGCCTCCTGAGTAGCTAGGATTACAGGCGTGAGCCACCAGCACCCGGCTCGCAAAATTTTTAACTGAGATAACTTTGAACCTCAGTCCTTCAGATCTCTGCCTTTTCATTGGCTGGGATTACAACATGCTACCGTACCTGGCTCTTTTTTGTACTTTCATATACATTGAAATATTTTGTAATTAAGAAAAATAAAACAGATTCTAATTTTCCTAGCTTTTCATTTTCATTTTTACTCTTCTTAAGTTCAAATGAAGACTTTGTTTTGAAAATCTGGCTGGCTTCAGAATTGAAAATAGCATGCATGAATTCACATATACTATTTACTAGTGAATTAGCCCTCCCTCCCTCCCTCCCTCCCTCCCACCCTCCCTCCCTCCCTTCCTTCCTTCCTTCCTTCCTGGCAGTACTGTGGTTTGAACTTGGGGCCTCATGATTGCTAATCAAGCACTCTATCACTCAAGCCACACCCCTAATCTTTTTTTTTTTTTTTTTGCTTTACTTTTCAGAGATTCTCCCTTAACTAGCCTCTGACCATGATCCTCCTATTGTTGAACAAATCTGGGATGATAGATGCATGCTATCACACCCAACTTAATTATTAAGATGGAGTCTTGCTAACTTTTTGGCCAGGTTGCCCTGGAATTATGATCTTCTTAGTCTCTGCCTCCCAAGTAGCTAGGATTACAGGTGCAAATGACCATACATGGTTTTTGTTGTTTTTACTTCTTAATCTTGTTAGGAAAGAGATTGTGTGGTCATTTGGAACTGCTTAACTGTGTTAGAATGGGCCTTGGGGCTGGAATATTTCCTTAGGAAGATGTAATGAGCACTTGCATCTAGGACTGTGTTCACTGTCTTGTATTGGTATATCTTTCTGTGTTTCAGACTAAATGTTCTACTTAATGTTCCCTTGGTTCTACTTAAGTATGCGTATCATATGGCACTTGGGCAATCCCACTACTTCCTGGTGGAGAGTAATGGGTTGAGCACATGCAGATCATTGTCCTTCATTGGTTGCCGTTAGACTCAGACTGCCATAGGCAACCCATACTCCCCAATGGTAGTCTTGAGGGACTTAGGAATATGAAAGATCGATGGTATTGGAGGATCCATGCCACCAAAAGTGGATCTGGTTGTATCGAGTAAAGTGCTCTCTGAACTGAATCTTTCTTGGTGACCATGTCATCTGCAAACTCTGAAATGAGTGAGTTGACATCTTCAGACTGCTGCTCCCAGGAGAAGGTGCTGTTATGCAGCTTGCTGACCCCAGGTCAATAGGTTGTCTCCCCCTGGAGGCTGGTAACAGGTGTCATCTTCTTGGGACATCTATACCCATCTACAGATACATATCTATATAGCTATATATATCCATACTTGCTTATCCATATATCTATATCTATAAATAGATGGATAAATATATATCTATTTATAATCCATCTAACTAAATATCTATATCTATCTTTAGATATAGATGAATATAGATAGATGGATGGATAAATAGATATCTATAATTCTATTTATATCCATCTATCTAAAAATTGATATTCATCTTTAGATATAGATGGATATCTATACATAGATGGATATATCCATCATTATATCTATCTCTATCTACCCTTGCTTACTCTTTTTCACTGTGACTTTTCAAATTTTTTTTTGTATTTGTGATGCTGAGGATTGAATTAGGGCTTTGTGCATGCTAACCATGTGCTCTACCAGTGAGCTACAGCTTCAGCACACTTAGGATTTTTTTTTTTTTTTTTGCTAGTCCTAGGGATTGCACTCAGGGCCTGGGCATTGCCCCTTAGCTTCTTTTGCTCAAGGCCAGTGCTCCACCACGTGAGCCACAGTGCCACTTCTGGCTTTTTTTTTTTTGAGTAGTTTATTTGAGATAAGAGTCTCACAGACTTTTCTGCCCAAGTTGGCTTTGAATGGCAATCCTCAGACCTCAACCTCCTGAGTAGCTAGGATTACAGGGGTGAGCCACAGGCATCTGGCTGCAAATGTTTTATAACAAGAAATCAATCTGGCTATTTACATATACCCCTATTCACTGAAAAATTTCCAATGAAATAAAAGGTTGAAACCGATGAATAGGAAAACTTGGTAAAATGGTAATGGATAATGTAATCAAGGAATCCACATATGAACCCATTTATATATACACATACATATTACACATATCATGTATATATGCATACACATATATAGAGAGTTATGACTACATATAACAGAGTTATGACTACATAATAGTCTCTAAATGTTACATGCTTTAGTGAAGTAAAACAAGATTACAGCCAGGTGCCAGTGGCCCTTGCCTGTAATCCTAGCTACTCAAGAGACTGAGATCTGAGGATCATGGTTCAAAGCCAACCCAGGCAGTAAAGTCTGTAAGACTCTTATCTCTAATAAGCCACCAGAAAACCAGAAGTGGTGCAGTGTCTCAAGTGGTAGAGTGCTAGCCTTAAGCTAAAGAGCTGAGGGACAATGCTCAGGCCCAAAGTTCAAGCCCCCTGACCAAAAACAAACAAACAAACAAAAAACCACCAAGATTACAAAAAAATTGCAGGGAGCTGTGATGTGAGTTGATTTTCTTCATTTTTCATTTCAAAGAGTCCACTGGTGTCTAAAATTTGGAGATGGAGTCTTGTGGACTTTTCAGCCAGGGCTTGCTTTGAACTTTGATCCTCCAGACCTCTTCCTTCTGTGTAACTAAGACTACAGGCACTAATGCCTGGCTAGAATAGAGTTTATTTAGTCAAAATGAACATAGCTATGGGGGGGGGAGGAGGTCTGAATTCTACCTACCTAGAAAAACTTCTCCCAAAATGGCCTTGTGGAGTCAAGTTTTGTAGATTAGAAAGA